ATTTAGTTTAGTACATAAACTTGGAATATTGGTAGTCCGGCCAAAGCGTGCAATGGAGAAGAAAATTCCTTTAGTAATACAGCAAGGTAGAAAAGGACATCAAATCTAATGTAATGGCGGGAGCCATCTAGGATATGATCGCAAACTTCAGACTTCCCGGAACGTTGGTGTTTCACGTCAGCTATGTGTTCTTTTACGCGGGTTTTGTGGATCGTTTTGTTTGCCCTATATATGAGAGACCACATTCACAATCAAGCTTATACACTCCTGCATCTTGTAGAGGGATATTGCATTTGACGGATGGTAAGAACTGACTAATCTTCTTCGGCGGTTTGAAGAATGTTCTAATAGAAGCTTGCTTCAAGATGTAGCCAATCTTGTCTGTTACACCTCTGACATATGGTAGTACAGCAGGCTCACGCTCGACTGTGGCCGGCTTCACTCGGTTTGGGAGTTCCCGACACATCTTCTCGTCAGGCATACCTCAAAACAACAGTACAACCAGTGCGTGGTGCCCGTGATGACCTACGGATCTGAGATGTGGCCCTTCACTGCTGGCCGTATGAGGAAGCTCAAAGTCGCTCAGTGGGCTATGGAGAGGGTTATGCTCGGCGTTTCTCTGCGTGTAGTGTTAATAACTAGGATATCCGCAGTAGAACTAGAGTAACCGACATAGCTCAATGGATTAGTAAGCGGGCCGGCCATATAGCTCAAAGAACCAACAACTGATGGGAAAGAAAGGTTCTTGAGTGGCAGCCTCGAGCGGCAGGCGAAGTGTAGGACGTACCCCCACTAGATGGAGAGACGACCTAGTAAGACATGAAGGAAGTCAATGGCTGCAGGTGGCTCGGGACCGTGCTTTGTGCCATTCCACCCCCAAGGAATATCCATATCCCATATTCAGCAGTGGACTTGTGAAGGGCTGTAATGATGATAATGATGATATATTCTAGGTTTATGGTTTAGTATTATATTTAATGTCACGTTACTTTTAAGGTGGATAACTGATTGGACATATTAACCCTTTCGCTGTCCAGTGCACTATATATAGGTCATTGCTATTGTCTTACTATTGTGTCTGAAAAGCGGACAGTGAAAGTGTTAAGTTGCCAGAAATATATCAGTGTTGGCCTACTTTATTATTTACACATGCAATGTCTATGTGTGATTACTATACAAAAGTAACATTTATAGCGATTTTATAAATTCACAATCGTAAATCTCCGCAATAATTATAATTTAAGTTTGTTTTCTGAAATATTTTCCAAATAAATGGTATTCAAAATATTTATATTGAAATATTTACAATATTTATAATGATGGACTATAATCCTCATTGAAATAGAAGATTGTTGTTTACTTTTAATATGGCATCTATCTTGAAAGGGATGAAAGCTTTTAAAATTTATTGGAGAAACGTTTGTAAAGCCATCTCCGAGGGCGTTCCATTGGACTTGAGCTTAACTTCAGAAAATATTACATCGTGACCTTTCCTCGCTTTGATGTTAAAAGTAAATTTGCTTTCTGCGCTACGTTATTCCGCTCCGATGGAAACATTCACAGGTGTTTCTATGCTTTCCATCTACGAACTGCACCATATAAATTAAAAGTGACAAGTTTCTTTTTACTCACTCCACATTAATAGATTGTGTAGGCTTTGAAATTTCAACTATTCAACTTATGGAATTAACGACAATGGGGTATTTAAAAAATAATCATAATAAAATGACATTTATGCTTCCGAACTAACTTTGCTGGTTGACCTATTTTCGTTTTTTTTTTTATAAAATAACAGAGTCGACGAGAGACCGGCACTCTGATATAACGCGTGTTAATTAAACATGTCTTTGAAATATTTTTATTTCTTACATATTAGTTTCTACATAATTCGCTGCAGTATAAAACAAATAACATCAAGTCGGTATATAAATCTGATAATTTTTTATTGTAAAAATGCATTATGAAAAAAAAAAAAATATATATATATATATATATCTAACAATAGAAATAAAGGATTTATTGCAAACGATGACGAAGCATGAAAGATCACTTAAAATGTCGTGTAAAAGGCACGTATAGGTAAAAGATTCTGCGCACTAGCGTTTTATCCGCAGTGCAGATGATATGATTTGCGGACAGGTACCTATCTGTTTCGCAACTTACGCAGCGCATCGGAGGGTCAATAATCGTTCAGTGTTTATTTTTAGCAAACTAACTTTTGCGGCTTTTCTACATTCACGACGAGTAATATTATATTGACGACACTAATATTTTTCCTTGAAAATTAAAAGAAATTACGTCTGCACCATGTCTAATGCGACAGCGTGACGCATTCTGATATCTCACCCATCTGCGATGTATATACAAGGTAATGGTAAAGGTATGACAGAAGCGAACCAACGTGATTGTCGACTTCCAGCAAATGCCTCGAGTTGATTACGTTTAAATTTACGGTTTCGGCAAAATCGCATATCATTCAATGACATATGGTGTACTGTAGGAGGATTATCACGTAAACATTTTAGCTCAACGTGTGTTGCGGCGTTTTTCTTGTCAAAATATTGTCTACAATTTCAAACGTGTGGTCAAAAGTTTTTCTGTTGTGTTGTATTTTATGTCATTTTCTTAACTGGCTAGTGTATATAGCGTATAGATGTCACTTCATTTTTAAGTTTGATATATTTGATTTTCATTTTTGGATCTTTTGTCACAATTCTTGCGTTGAATAAGCCATGAATAAAGTTTTTTTCCTTTTTTTCAAAAACAATACATTGTGCAAGTTTTTTCTAAGTCTAATAAATTATAATGACGTGCAAATGGCAATAATAACAATTTTAGTACTACAGTGCAGACAATGTTACTATTAAAGTTTTGTATTATGTTACAGTGATTTCTTTTAAATTCTGGGTACGTTATATAATTGCCATGTTTGGATTTTCTTATGAAGGAAATGCATTTATAAAAATACTGTACGTAATGACATAAAATCTAATGCTGTCGATTTAACGAAAACTTAGGGTTCATTGGTGAGAGTAAAAGCACGCGGTTTGTTGAAATGGTACGCCAATAAATGTTCTTAATCGTTTGCTAGATAAGTTGGAAAAAATTTGAATTCAGCGAGTTACTAAACTACTTTTCTTGTCGCACTAATGGTTAATAAATATTTCAGGGACGTATTATATTTCTGAAATACGTCCACGAATATACGATTTAGCATGCTCGTTGAGTCCGTCCGCGCTTTAAGCATTCTAGATCATGTGGATAAGTATCCACTTGCTTCTCGGCAGGTCCGTCATTTTGTATAGTACAAAAAGCGTGCGTGCGCTATTGTAACTCCGTTTTATCTGTCTCCATAGATGCACTAAATACAGTGTGTATACTACGTCTAGCACCCCGCGTCCTTGGTGAAGCGTATAGTAAGATGTGCAGTGTGTAAGGTGCTTTATATGAAGGATCAAAGGGGATTTCTCCAACGCATCGGACATCACTGTAAAATTCATTGCTTCAGGTAATGCATTTAATGATATGCATTTGGGCCAGATGCTTGCGTAATTTGTTATTGCAATTGCGCAGTCGTCGCTATGAACTGCGTGAATCGTTTGATCAGAATATTTCTCTTTAAATGTATCTTTATCGATGTATTATCATTTGTGATTTTTATTTTGCATACGTTCAGTTCTATTTACGTTCGATTACGAATTCTACGCTCGAATGTTATTTCATTAGTTCTAAATTCGTTACTTGTGTTACAGAACAGTTCAGTGTCAGCATAAAAAAATGTCGTAAATATTTTGTAAGAGAAGCCGTCATTTTGGGAAATTATGATTTCGTAATGAACTTCGTAGAAAAAGTGAAGACGATATTTATATTCATTTGCGGATTACGGTTAATGCACTTTTGAATATATATATATTGTTTTAATAAAATCTGCACGTTTTATTTCTTATAAAATAACAAACGGTCCAACTATAAAACATTTTATAACAGCGATTAAGATGTGTTATACATATATAGAGAGTGTTTCAAAAGCCGCAAGGTCCTGCTACTGCGTAGCTATCCTTTGAATATTTAATTATGATATTGGATTGAGTGATCCCATTTCTCTGCAGCATTTTGTGTATACTTGAAATGAAACGAAATGACTTCGCAACTATAGTTTAATATTAAGTATATTATATTTAACGATTCACAGAAAATACTGAATTTGGATTTGTGCTGATATTATTTGTAATTTTTCGTTTCGGTTTACAGATTTCGCGTACTCGTAAGACCTAGTTTCTATGAGTTATTTAGTAAAATGATTAAGTCATGAGCGTGCTGTGAGTCATCTGGGCTGTTATAATATTTCGATTAATCCAGATTGAGAGCTGAATTCCGGACGTAATCACCTCAAAGTGTGCCCGAACACACGTTTTCCAGCGCGTAACGCTTTACGATGTTAATCATCGATATTTTTACAAATATCAGAACTTTGAACACTGGGTCAGTGTGTTGTTGGCATAACAAGTATACTAGATGTTGGCCGATTAGTTTTTAATAAAGCTTTGCAAGTGAGTAATATAGAGGAGTAGATGAAAGCTCTGAAAGAAGAAGTCAGTGGTCAGTTTTCTGGAACTCATATCTAAACATTCTACGTCGGTACGCAACTGATGTAAAGGAGAAAGGCGTAAATCAGCATCCTCGGAAAATTCTGAAATTTCAGAATTTTCCGAGGATGCTTCAAAAAAATAGGCTATACGACATTTATTTTTATAAAGAAGATTTTGGTAAGTTGTTAGTGTTAGTTAGTGACTGCCAACCGTGGCGCACTCACCAACACATGTCGAAATATTCCATAACAAAGTCGATATACATGTGTAACGCAGTCGAGAAAAGAAGCGCGCGTGCAGTGTTCGCACCTCGGGCCGCGTGTGCCGTCTCCCGCAACGCGCATGACCTTCCGTGACGCAAACCGCACATCCTGACTCGGCATCGGAATCGGTGTTTAAACTATACCTTACCTTTGTTCTTCGCCTTGTTCCTGGGCCCGGGGGCATTCCTGCCTCGGCCTGAGGACAGGCGTCAGCCCCCATTTCTCGACCAACTCTATACGAGCAATGGTGGCTGTTCAACGTCAATGTGTCATCGGGTCGGAGCGCTGCAGCGGGGACGCGGCGGAAAGTCCGGCTGGCCCGCGGCGTCCCCCGGCCGGCTCAAAGCGCGCGCCGCGCCCGCCACCTTACACGCGCTTCATGCCGCGTTAGCGCTCTCGCCCGCTACTCGCGCTGGCCAGCTCGCGTGTGCTCGCGCTGTCTCTCATAATGCGTTCAAACTGCGCGGCGCAGCGGTCGCATCGCGAATACGACAAGCCCGCGGAATCGACTACCTTAGAAATTCCTCACGATTTATTAGAAATTTATTCAAAGAGCTACTTCGGTATGTAAGATCAGCAACCGCCGGGCGTAATTTTTACGTAATGCGTATGCGGGCGCGTTAGATTGCGCCTCACCGGGTGCGGCGAGTCATGGTCTCTACGAGGGCCGCGTGGCAGTCGCGATGCTCGACTGGGAGCGTGTATTACTGTAGCGCACTGGCAGCGGACTCACGGACTGGACTAGCGCGTGCGTCCGCCCGCCCCGCAGCCCTCGCCGCGCCCCACCCGCGTCACGTCCCGCGTCCCGTGCCGCGTCCGTCCCGCGCCCCGTCTCGCGCCACCGCCGCACACGTATTGACACCACCAACCACTGCACCGGGCCGGCCCGCTCGCGGCGCCGCCGCTACGCAAAGCGCTCGACCCGCCAATTCCACGCGTTACACGCCGCACGCAACCTCCTGGAAATGTTGCGAGTCTCCTTGCAAAACATTCGCTTTCCTTGCCCTTACTTTACTTTCCAAGTGTACATAAATTAAATACACTTTCCCGGATACATTCGAATCGTTTATTTTATTTAAGTTCGAAAGTCAAATACTATTTGATTATTGAAATACGTAACAGCAGCGATAAGATGACATTATGAATTATATGCATGAAATATTGTACAAAACTGGTGGCACTTTAAATTAACTAATTTGCAAAGTAACAGTAGGTTAAAGAATGTTTTCATAAGGCAGTGTATGATAGCATGTAGGTATCTAATGAATTAAACAATACTTTACATGACGCTTCCACGCATCCCTGCTCCACCAATAAAATAGTTAGCCGTTCATATATTCACATCACGGAAGTGGCCGCTGCCTCCACGGCAAGTCGGCAACTGCAACGCAGATCCAGTCTGATGCATCGACACGACGCAGTGTGAGCCAAATTCAGTCTGATCTCACAGAAAGGAGAATACTGTTTGTAAATTCAACGTGCGAGCCAAAATTGTGCCAACTGATAAAATGTTAACGACCTTTATCTAGTTCGGACCTTTGGAACATTTACGTGGAATGTAATTTATCTGTTAAAACAATTATATTGCAATAGAGTTGAACAACGCTAGGTCCGCGCGGCCGGCTCGCGTTGCAGATCAATTTTAACGGCATCTTCGGAAGGCTTTGATACAGTTGACGCCAAAATAACGATAGGAAAGGTCACCGAGGAAATAGATATAATTTTATTTTTGATATAGTCGACACCAAAATAACGATAGGAAAGGTCACCGAGGAAATAGATATAATTTTATTTTTGATATAGTCGACGCCAAAATAACGATACGAAAGGTCACCGAGGAAATAGATATAATTTTATTTTAGATATAAATTCTTTTATGGAATAATTTATTTAAAATTAGTAGAAAGACAAATTCTTAAAATCCATCCATCCATATCTTTATATGTGTTATGTATATTGTGTTTGTCACTGAACTCCTGCTAAAAGGCTGGATCAATTTTGTTTAATTTTTTTGTGTGTCTGAGTGTTTCCTTGGATGGTTTAGATTCACAATTGGACTCCGTATGTGGCGTTGCTGTTGAGATCCAGAAATCACCTGTGCGGACGCGGACCGGATCACTGATTTCCCCTTATATAAAAGGCAAAATAGCAGAAAGCCAAGTGAAACCACTTGCTAAGATCCACGCACAAAAATAAAGTAATAGTAAAGTGGTAATGTTCACTTTGAATAGAACCTCTCTTCAATTTAGACAAAGTTACGAGGGTTTCTATTTCATTCGGTCTTTACATACGATATAGTCGATCCCCACCGGCACCGATGAAATTGTTATTGCAATTTTGAGTGCTGATTTACCACATGCTCGGTGGTGAAGGAAAACATCGTGAGGGGGCTGTATGTCTGCGAAATAAGAAATAAATATTCCGAAGGCATGATGTGAAGTTCTCCAACATGTATTGGGGCAGCGCGGTGGACATTCCCTTGCCATAAAACCCTCTGAGAAAGGAGAGGAGGCCTGTGCCCAGCTGTAGGACGTATATTATAGGATGTAACTTTAACTTTATATGATATTGTCGATTTGTAGGCAAATACTGATATAAAAAAAATACGACAAAAATATATCTAAACACATTCTAACTATTTTATCGGGAGTTTCTTGAAATTTGGTGGATTTTCTGAAAGCGTACTTCACTCCTACTTTGGAATTAAAAATGTAGCATGCTTATCTTCACGCACAATCCCTGATGGGGTAGCCAGAGAGAACAGATCGCCAAGTGTCACGATCCTTACATACCTCTTTCGCTTCCTTCAGATTCATTATCTTCTTCATACATGCACGTCTAGGTATCCGAGTACTTTGTTATATGGCAGTGAAACCTGGGTATGCCAGAAGAAGCATAAAAGCAAGTTGAATGCAGTGGAGATGCTCTTCGTAAAATGTGCGGCGTTACCATGGCCGACCGAAAGCAAAACGAAGAGATTCGCAATATGGCAGGTTTGAAAGATGACCTTATCACAAAAATTGATAAAGGCGTGCTTCGGTGGTTTGGGCACGTTGAGCGAATGAGTGAAGACCGAATGGTGAAGAAAATATAGAGCGCGAAAGTTAATATTAAAAGGTGTCGAGGTAGACCGAGACTAACTTTCAAAGACCATGTGAGCAAATTGCTCGAAGAGGGTAGGGTCAAGAGTACTCGGATACCTAAAAATGTAGCATATTATCAAAAAGTTAATTTAACTCTGAAAAAAGTAGAAATCTGTTGTGGAAAGGCCTAAAAAACATGGTAGATTAGATTTTGCCGGCAACTTCGTCCGCGTAGATATTATACTTTAAACCATAGGTGATCCATCAACAATCGCACTTTCATAGTGAATTCCATCACCCTCTTTAGGCATGATTTCCGTGATCAAAGCTATCCTATTTCCTTCCCCGGGACTTAAACTATCTCGATACTAAATTACATCTAAATCGGTTCAGCGGTTTAAGCGTAAAGAGGTGCATTTGCTCACGCGGCAATGAGCGATGATTTCTCCTACCTCGCCCGCAGTACGCCCCACCGCTCTGCGCGCACCGGACCGCACAATTTTCATCGTCGTTACTTTTAAAATATTTCACCAAATTACGTAGTTTAAAAGATAAAGTTAATCTACTTTGAACATCAAAAGCTATTAAAGTATTTATTTTGATGAAATCCATTTGTTACTGCAAAACGTGCATTGGAAATATAGTATCTATCAAATATTATTGTATTTTTGGTTCACTACTTTCATAAAATATAGATCTATACTATCCTGGACTTTTTTGTAGGACTATTTAGGGGAAACAATTCCACCATACATTATATTTGCGTTACTCTTACAGTTTTTGCACCACGCGCCAAAATTGCTCGCTAATGACAGATTTTTTCCGACTAACACTTATCGTTATGACTAACACTTATCGTTATATTTTGACGAATTTACACAATATGTTTATTAATAATAGCCTATGTGTTATTCTCGAGTGGCGGCCTCGTACCGCCGGGCGAAGTGTAGGGCGTCCCCCCACTAGATGGAGCGCATGCAGAAAGTCGATGGATGCAGGTGGCTCAGGACCGTGCTTTGTGGCATTCCTTGGGTGAGACCTACGTTCACCAGTGGATTTGTGAAGGGCTGTAATGATGATATATGTTGTTCTGATGTATGAGCTATATTATTTTATAGTTTCATTAAAATAAATTCAGTAGTTTTTGCGTAGAAGAGTAACAAATATCCATACAACTTCACAAACTTTCACGTTTATAATATTAATAGGATGAGGAAGGATCGCCAATTTTTTAGCCGGGCGCTATATCGTGAATAAGCAAACGCTAACAGTTAATTTTAAGTAATAATGGTCAACAATGGTTTTAATAAAAAAATTAAATGACGGTAGTTTCATAGGTTAACCATAAATTGAAATTACTCGAACGAAAACGATTGAAACAATAAAGCACATTTCGTTCGTTAATAGAATTAGCTCCGTATACGTCATTGATATTGCGCGCAGTTTGTTTACGAAGTAGATCCACGTTGCAGCTATATTGTGGTTGTAGCACGAGTGGGTCGACTCGACCGGGGTAGGCTCACGCTCTCACAGAATACCAGCGTGAAATAGGAGCTTAATGCTGCTGTTTCATATGGTGAGTGTCGAAAATAGGAGACTCTTTATACTGGAAACCAGGCATTCCTGAGGACTAAGATTCCTCAGGGATGACAACGTATCTGTATTTTAATTCTTAATCGAGGATAGATGTCTATGGGCCTCACAATCCACTTACTATCACATGGACTGCGTGCTCGTTTGTCACCACATTCTATTAAAAAAATCGAAATAACTAAATAACGAACGTATAATAATGTAAATCGATATGAGTGTCTTATATGGAGCTGAGGAGTTATTTCAATGATTATTAGACATTAAAATATTAATAACCATTTTTAAACTTTTGTCCGTCTGTCTGTCTGTATGTAGGTTTTTCTGTCCAGAGTAATCTTTGTATTGGCTGAACCGCTTGTGAAGTAATTTTACGAACCAACAGAGAACGATGCCAGAAGGGATCTAGCCTAAAATTGACATAAAAAAACTAAATAATAATTGACATAAAAAAATGGTCTTTAACTATCTTAAATCTAAACAAACGCCACAGGCGTTTCTACCTAAGCGAAGTCAGGGCGGGTCGCTAGTTTATAATAATATTTCAATAAATCATCATAAAATAAAAGTGCGGCAAAATTTACATTATAAATGGCCTACTGGCTTATTAAGCTGCTTAGATAACCTAATACCCTCTTTCAACTTAAATGATATGGCTGTATCAAGGTAACACGATCGAAACTGCCGCAGCGTGCCTTTGCCAAATATGTACAAAAGTCCGTGACTTGTGTTTCTGAGAAACTTGTGTTGATAAGTAGATAATTATTAAAAAAATAAATGGAAAATCCAAAAGGGCATAACTCGAACAGGACGGTATACAATAGTGAAATTCAAAAAGCTTCCTAAGGATTAAAATCTAAATCTAATAAAAAATCAAAGTGATTAGTTCAGTTTTCGAAAGATATCTTGTTCACATCCACACCGACTAACTGACGTCCAAGTGAAATTATTTTCAATTAACTTTTTTTAATAATAATCGACATAAATAACTATACTTCAGAAGTATTAATTGAAATCCCCTCTTGATATTGGTGTTCTTTTTATTACATAACTTTTTA